TGAAAAAATGAATTTAACTTAGTAATAGAAAAGAAATTAAAAAAAATTATTAGAAATTAGCGTTTTTACAACCCTTTGAAAACCAAGGCATCACTGTGATGCATTTGCATGTCGTAAACATAGTTGTGTGGGTTTTTTATTCAACCGTTTTAAAAAATGAAGGTATCACTGTGACACAATTGCAAATCGGAAAATTGCTTGTGTGCGTTTTTTAAGACACAGCTGCATGTCGTAAACTTACTTGTGTAGTTTTTTTATAGCACCTACTTAAGAAATGAAGGTTGTTTTTACAACCCTTTTTGTGGGTATTTTAAGGCACCTTTTTAAGAAATGCGCGTTTTTTGCAACCATTTTAACAATTAAGGTATCACTGGAATGCACCGCAACCCTTTTAAACAATGAAGGTATCACTGTGACACAATTGCAGATCGTAAAATTGCTTGTGTTGTTTTTTTTAAGCCACCACAAGACACAGCAGGTAGAATTGAAATTACCATTTCATTCTTATTACCTCGTCTCGTAGACCATATATAACGCAACAGTTTTTGTGAATGCATTAAGTCGTTGTGAAGAACTCAAAGTGTGAAGTGCTAATCTATATATATAAAAATTAAGCCGAAAAAAAGTGTGCGTTTGTCCGTGGTAATCTCAGCAACGCGTGTAAGGAACACAATGAAAGTTTTACACATTGTTGGTGTTGCTTTGCCAAAGGTTTCTGTGAAGTTTGGTTGAAATCCGATAACGCATGTGTGCGCGGTGCGTCGGTTAAGTGAGTGTGTTTTTGCTATTTGCCGCAGGTATTTTTTGTACCGCACATATCATTCATTAGAATTGAATACATTTTGGCCGTGTGTGTCTGGGCCGATTATTATGAAATTTGGTATATATATATATTTTTCCACGGAGAAGGTTAGTATAATATGCTTATTGATTCCACTCGCCACCAGGTGGCGCTGCACGAGGACCCGGGTAACCCTAGGATGTGTTTTTACATTGTGGGTATCAAATCAAAGCTACTGATGAGTGCTTTAATACAGAGTATTTTTTAGATCTCTGAGTGACCAGGGTCTCGAGATATAGGCGAAAAGGTGGACCAAGGTACCCTTGGATGTGTTTGTACAATATGGGTATCAGATGGAAGCTGTTGATGAAAGCTTTTAAGTGAAGTAATTTTTACTGCCCGTTTCCGGGATAAAGAAAGGAGATGGAGCTGGAGATGGAAGAGGAAAAGGAATAGCTACAGGAAGAGGAAGAGAAAGAGGAAGAGGAAGAGAAAGAGAAAGAGGAAGAGGAAGAGGAAGACCACTTAATATTAAAAATAAAACTAAAAATTCTAAAAAAATTTTAAAATGTTACATATACGCTTATTATATAAACGTTAATCTGAAGTCAGTTATAGTGAAAAATTCATTGTATCATTACCGGCGTGATTGGTGATCGTTTCCTTAATTTTTTGCAGAAAGGTTATGCTAATATGAGATATTACCTATATCATTCATATATTTACGTATTACCTGTGTACTCACAAATATACGGTTGAAGCAAATATATGTCAGTTTTTTTACTTCGCTTGGAAAAGTTTATATAAATTTAAGAAGAGTAAATAGAACTTATTTTATATCAGACTTCACGCAAAAAGTCATTTGCACCTGAACACATAGCTGGGTTAAAGCGAAGGGGAATAGAACAGTTCTCTTCTCCTTCTCCGCTTTTTCGTACACGACGAAGTGTATGTATCATACGATTGATGTTGTGGTTTATGTGTAAAGGGGAGCGCATCTATGCAAATGCAGAACGGAACAACGACGCGCTCAAACTTTCTTTCTGATCTGATTTTCAAGCAAACAACAAGTGAGTATTTTTTCTCCAGAGAAAACCACGTTTTTAAAATTGTTTTCTGATAAAAACAACCATTTGAGTAAATATTTAGAATATTTTGCATCTATTTGATAGGAAACGACCTGGATTACCGCCACACATGCTAAACTTGAAAATAGGAGCACCGATTATTATGTTGAGAAACATAAATCAGCCACGACTATGTAATGGCACTCGATTAACAGTTAAGAGATTGATGAATAACGTCATTGAAGCAACAATTTTGAATGGAAAATACTCTGGTGAAGACGTTTTAATACCGCGAATACCAATGATACCATCGGATATGCCGTTTGAATTCAAACGTCTTCAATTTCCTGTTCGCCTTGCATTCGCGATTACTATCAATAAGTCACAAGGCCAAACTTTATCAATTTGTGGTATTGATTTAGAATACCCATGTTTTTCTCATGGCCAACTTTATGTTTCATGCTCAAGAGTTGGTAAGCCATCGGTATTGTTCATTTATTCAATAACGCATGGAAAAACGAAGAATATTGTATACCAAAGAGCATTACAATAAAAAAAGTAATAAAGTAAATCACATCAAACGTTTTTTAATTGCTACTACTATTCAAAACTTCTTTCATTACTATTCATGCGCGAGAATTTTTATAAAAAACACACAGTATTTTTCGGCTTAATTTAATGAATTAATCTAGATTTTTTTAAAGACGACCAGCGGAACGGGCGGGTTTTCGCTAGTTTCAGATAAAAAAATATTTCAAAAAAAATAATAAGTGAAGTGACCATTCCAAATCAAAAAGTTTACAATGAATCCACCATCCTCTACACCGCAAGATGAAGCAACTACATCAACAACTATCGAAAACCCAATGAGTCATATACCCAAGCATGATGTTACTGTTTTTGGTGTGTCTACTGATTTAACTGATCTTAATTTACCAACCCATCTGGATATCTTGAGATATTATTTTTACTTAAGCGAACGTGCTAAAACAGAACAAAAAAAGTTTTCCCATAAATCATTCACTATTCAAGTACAAGATAAGTTGATTGGAATTTGGGAAAAACTTGGTATGGAAATAATACTGAAAAAAGTGTATTTAATAAATTGAATAAATTGTTTGACAAGTATCAAGAGCAAATCAAGAGAAGAAACAACACCCAACAATTTACAGAGTATGTAAAATGTCTGGAAACAATTTTTTACATTGGAACATGTAAATGCGATTTGAAGGCAGCTCCATGTGCATGCGGCTGGGTTCATTGTGTACAATGAACACAATGGCTGGGTTCACGAACGCCTCAAAGAGTTCATCGAAACTTGTGAAACTCTTCCGGTAAGTTATTGCTATCACTCATTTATTATAATTGTCAACCATTTTTAATTATTTTATTATTATATATTTTCAGGTGGTGGACGGCTTCCAGAAAATTGAGTTGCAAAATATGCCCCCTGCTCCAGAAAAAATTGAATTTTCCACCGATTCGAAGTACTTATACGACATGGCCCATGCAATTTCTAGCGGCGTGGTTCCGGTGGATCTGGCTAACATCAAACCAGGGAAAATTGTACATTCTCGGTGGCTCACCAAGGCCGCTAGATTATTGCGATTATATGTGACAACGGAAAATCCAGATGCAAATTTAAGAATTCTGGTTGAATTTATAATTAAATGTTATGTGCCAATGTACTTCAATAGGTTTGTTCGTCGAAAATCCAGCAAGAATTATCCAACACTCAAAATATTAGAGAGTAAGAAAAAATTCTCTCAAATTCTCTCTCATGTTGAGAAACTTGCAAATTTCTGCACGAACGCAAATTTGCAGGAATTTGCAAGTTTCGCTGCCAGCTGGCGTCCACGGTTGCATTTCAAACATAAAAAAATTTTATAGAATTTTTAAAATTCTTTCGGATGGCCAAAAACAGGATATACATGTATATTTCTTGTTGTTCTGACTTTCTTTAACATACATTTCAATTTCTTCATCGTACTAGCTGTCGGGTTTCTTAAATCGACTCTGGTTGCAATTGCATTCCGATTGCGAATACCATTTTTTTCAGCCGAATTAAGTTCAAATCATTGGAATTAACTAAAGTAATTATATCAACAATTATTTACTTCCTTTTTTCATAAAAAAATCGCTCGTGTGTATAAATTTTTAAATTTAACGAACTAATTTATTCAAATTATTGTAGACAAAAATGCAACCATGCGCCACAACCACATGTTTTTCGTGTTTGCAAATTCTTGCTGGCAAAATTTTTTCCAGCAAGAATTTGCAACTTCTCTCCAAGAGAACTGTCACTTTGCTCTCACAATTTTTGAGTGTTGGATAATTTTTTGGTCTGCACGAACGCGATTTGGGCAAAAATCGTGATAATTCCTACAAATTCGTACAAATTTTTTGCTCGACGAACAAACCTAATATCAAGTATTACAGCTCTGCCGTGTACGGCAGTGCATTATTTTTCAAGTTCATTGGTTGCTCACGATTTCTAGAACCTCGTTTACGCAAATTTGTCAATCAAGTAATTAAAGATAATTCATATTATGCGCATTCGGAAAATATCTTGTTATCAATGTTGTTTGATGACAGCAAAGAAAAGCGCGACTGTGCCATCAAGAAAATTCTACGCTATCGAACCGATGTTGACGAGCCAATGGAACTTAGAGTTTATAAAAAACCAGATATAAACTTTAATTGCACAAGTTATACGGAAATGATCAATTTGAATGATATAAATATCGTATTTGAACCACCATTCACGCGAAGCATTCCGTACGATACATTTTACATACCGTTCAATGATCCAAAAATTCCATCACACATACAAGGAACGGAACGACATGTAATGCAATTCTCTTGCGTCCGCCTTCTTTCCTGACTTGAGAATGATCTTCTGCTGTCATCAAATTGGTCAGTGACACGTCCTAGCTTTTTCAGAATCTGCATGAATATTCCGTTCGGTCTTAACGCCTTATATGACAGCTGCATTTGCCTCTCTTGAGTACACCATATTCATGTGTCTCGTATGCGGAGCTTGTGTGCTTTAGCATACAGCGGCAGAGTTTGTTCCCTTCAGATGTAAAATTAATCGCCGTCTGTAAGTAAGGGCGACATTGTTTTTTTTGAGCTGTAAAGGTCACCCACGATCCTGGTAGGAGCATCTTCATTGATGGTGCGAAACGTGGAGTCTCTTCGGAAAACTTTGTACTCGTTCTGACTCTGGGGGCTTGAATCGAAATGGAGTTTGGTTTCCTGAACTGCTGCGACTATGATAACCCCCTCCGGTTTTTATCGATGCTGCACCAAACGGGGCTTTGTCACTTTTTATCACAGTCAATGGTCAAATCCTCTGCGAAAGTTGTTGTCATTCCAGCTTGTGCGTCCTCCGAACTTTTAGCAAGCTACCACGAATTTAATACTAAATTTAGGATACAGATTTTTTATTCCGACTCTCTATTATATTCTACTAAACGGTTACTTCAAAATAACAGATAAGGCATTATGCATTAAAAAAAAATAACAACAACGATTACCAAAATAATTTATTCCAACAGGCGACTGAATGCATACTGCATTTCATCATTCAGTCTTTTATAACCACTCTTGATTCTTCGTTCTCCCTCTTTTTGTGGGTCCTAACAAGGAAAGAAAATACATCGTCCATTATATCTCCTTTACTTTAATGTAATTCGTACTCACCTTGAATTTCATCGATGACAACTCGTACAGTATATTTCCCATTTCTTGGCGTATCTCATTCCATGTAACACGATTCTCTCCTGTTGTTGTTGATTCGATAGCATTGCGTGATAAGTCGTAGAAAGTTATTATATTCTTGAGCATGCCCACAGTCTTGTAGAAAGGACAATAATGATTATACGACGAATAGGAATTTTGTTGCATAAAATCGTCTTTAAGCAGCTTTGCCACCTCCAGCGTCAATTTATCCGTTTCGGCTAGTGACGCTTTTCCTACTAGCTGCACAATTTCTGAGAGATCCTCTTCTTCTTGCAGTATTTCCCGTACTTTTATGCGCAGAGCAACAAATCCTGGGAAATTTTCCTCGTAATATTCATCCAGTGCGCGCATATACTTTGAATACGAAATCAACCAGTTGACAGAGGGAAAATGTTTACGTTGCGCTAATTTCTTATCTAAGCCCCAAAACACTTGCACAATACTGAGTGTAGCTGAGGTGACAGGATCTGAGAAATCACCACCAGGTGGCGATACAGCACCGACAATGGAAACGGAACCTTCACGCTCGGGATTACCCAAAGTTTTTACGCGACCAGCACGCTCGTAAAAGGAGGCCAGTCGTGCACCCAAGTAGGCTGGGTAGCCAGAATCGGCAGGCATTTCAGCTAAACGACCTGAAATTTCACGCAGAGCCTCAGCCCAACGGGAGGTGGAATCAGCCATCATAGATACATTGTAACCCATATCACGGAAGTATTCAGACAGTGTGATACCAGTGTAAATAGAAGCTTCACGAGCAGCGACAGGCATGTTGGAGGTGTTGGCGACCAAAGCGGTACGCTTCATGATGGACTCGGTAACACCATCAATTTCAACAGACAATGCGGGGAAATCACGCAATACTTCAGCCATCTCGTTACCGCGCTCACCACAGCCGACATAAATAATGACATCAGAATTGGAGTATTTGGATAAAGCCTGGAAAGGCGAAGGGAGTTCACTCTAACTCTGCTTAAAAGTTGCTGAGATCACAAGGGTTTTCAGAATTGAAAAACTTACGAGATGTTTCTAAGGTTGCTGCGCTTTACGCAATTCTCTGAATAAATAACTTTTTGTTTAAAAGTTAAGAAGAAAATTCTTTACAAATTAACTCGGGTAATATTAGTTGCGCTCCAGATGCTTCACGATTTGCAGATTTTTACAGGAAGCCGTTCCAGGTGTAACGGAGAAAACAGTTGTTCCTGCAAATCCTGTAAAACCTGCAAATCGTGAAGCATCTGAAACGCAACTATTACCTGTTATGCTTCAGGAAGCCTTTAAGGTGGTTTTTCCGATTTTGATACCAATTTTTAGAGGTCGCCTAAAACTGAATCACGCCCAGCTTAGCTGGAGGATAATTTAAGTGTTTTTTATTCCTAAAGCGAGAAAACGTGGTCGCAACAATTGTACACAAGGCGTTTGAGATGCCATTAGTTCTGCATATTATGAACAAGAGGTAAAAGGAAAATCGACGAATACTCGTCCTTCATGAAGTGGTTCCCACGAATGGGAACTCGCTCTACCTCATACAGTTAACTATGCATCCTTCCTTTATAAATATTGAGGACGCCTTTAATAATTTCAGTACAGATTCTATACGTGGTGGCTTATGCCGACGATGTAACCATACTAGCATCGGCCAATTTACTTCGGTTATAAGCGAAATTATGGAGTACACCCTAAAGAAAGTCGATTCTTGTGCTATATTCGGCCAATGTGAATTCGAAGCAAAATAGCCTGAAGCGAGTTATGTATGTACAAATAAGACAAAATTGCCCAATCACACGCAACCTAAATTCAAGTGGACACCGCTGGATCTTCCTCAAAGGTGTACATATCTTAGATTTTGTCTTTATTCCAACTTTAGTTGGAGGCTCAGCACTGAGGAGCAAGCAAGCATAGGTAATAGTTGGGATATTGAAGCCAATGTTTGTGCACTCGATCTACACGCCAATAGTCTGAGCCAGGGACCGAAAATAAAATTCTTAGTGCTTTGAGGGAATGGGTGTCCTTACAATTGGATCTAAGATTATTTTAAAGCAATGTGAACAATCTGAAGCTATTATTTCGCCCATCGGACCACGTAAACATATTCCAGGCAGAAGCGTTTGCGAGCTTTTGGGTCGCCATTTGTTGAGGACTGTAAGAGGCGAGAGGAGGTTTGGTCTCAATTTCTGTTCGATTCGAAATCAGTCTAACACGGGTCTCGGGACATCAGAGTCATAAACGGTAATGAAATAATGGATGAACTAGCGAGGTGTAGCTCTGTATTGGCGTCTCGCTTAGGGAAATAAAAAGCCGGAAAATAACAAAATTTACCATTCGAAAGTTATGCAGAGTTGCGGTTTTAAAGGATCTTCGAGAATTACTAGCCCGATCTGGAATACCTACGGCCCTCTTAAAACCAAGGCTGTCCTAGGAATGAGCAAGAAAAATACCTACCAATTCACGGCTGTCTCCACAAGACACCGCTTCGTGGGTGATTGGGCTAAAAGGATCGGCATACCTTTCAACAGGTTCTGCCGCAGCTGTAAGTATCCGCGCCCAAAGGAAGACATTTTAACACCTTCTCTTCGAGTTCCCAGCTCTTACAAGAGCGAGGCTAAGCACATTGCAGAATATTTTATAATTATATACTTAAACATTAGGATAAGTTGGAGAACGCTTCACCTCGAAAATTCTTTGTATGTGCAGGTAAATACCAGCGTGATTGACTCAGTTTTTCCGAACCGGTTGCCACCGTTTTTTTTAATATCTATTCAATGTTTTTTTCCCTACTTGACCTTCAAATGAACTCGAACTCGGATTCGCATTCAGCGCGTCGAATAACATAGGGATATAGAGGTTTGGTTCAATATGCAGAAACTTTTTTTTTTGTAAACTTGAGTTTTATTTTCTCACTTAAGAATAATAATCATTAAAAAAAACTCAAAAGCTATAACAGCGTGATTTCCGACGTATCCTTTTCAGAGGTGGCGACACCGTAATAAAAGGATTAAGTCCCATAATGTTCAGGTCAATTCAGTAGATTGCGTCTGTACGGCCTTTTCGATTTTATAAACAATCATTATTTTTAAGTGGAAAAACAAAACTCACTAATAATTTGTATCTCGAGCGAAAAAATAAAAATCACAACATAATCAGTATTTGTGAACAAAAAATAAAAATAAATAATAATAATTTCCGTTGAACGAAAAATAAAAACTTAATTATAATTATTATTGTTTTTAAATGAAAAAATATTTAAATATCATTAAGTAATGATTAAATGTTGATTTCAATTATTTTACTCATAATGATTACCATCCCTGTTTTATTGTAATTTTTGGTCATGACTTTATACTAACTTGTGAATTTTCACTGTAAGAAAACTATGTGAAATAAAACCGTTTTATCCGGTTTTTTCTTAATTTTTTTTTTGCAATTTTTTCGATTAACCCGAAAACCGGTTTTTAAAAAAGGCGAATGATCGAACACTCTCGTAAATACATACTTTTTATGTTTACAAGATTTTCGAATTAAACGATGCCTTGTCAAGCAGCAAATTTACCTTTTCCCTGAGATAGTTTACCTTTATATAGCTAAAACATTTACCTGTGATATAACGGTTTTTCCACAACCAAACGCACCCGGAATGGCAGTTGTTCCGCCCAAGGCACAGGGAAAAAGTGAATCCAGCACACGTTGTCCGGTCAGCAATGGGTGATTGCAAGGCAGCTTTTCTATAACAGGCCGTGGTTGACGTACTGGCCAAACTTGCAACATGCTGTGCTTAGTCACAACACCATCAAACTCAGTCTCGAGTACAATATCATCAACCGTGTACTGACCGGCGGGCGCTATATACTTCACAGTACCTCTTGCACGTGGATTCAATAGTATCTTATGATTTACTAATGTGTTCTCTTGTACTGTGCCATAAATATCACCGCCAGTTAAATGCGATCCTGCGACAATCTTTTTTGCTGGCTCAAATTGCCAGGATATATCACGCGATAAACTTTTAACATTTACACCCTTAGGAATGTAAATAGATTTGGTGAGTTCGTTTATGCTTCGCAGCGGGCGTTGTATGCCGTCAAAGATGCTGCCCATTATACCGGGTCCCAATTCCACCGAGAGCGGTTTACCCGTTTTTAGCACAGGATCACCAACTGTAATACCTGAAGTTTCTTCATACACCTGTATTGTAGCCATTTCACCTTCAAGCCGTATAATTTCACCCACAAGTTCAAAGTAACCGACACGTACCAATTCGTACATGGCTGAACCGGACATATTCTCAGCGGTAACGACTAAGGAAATGTAAGCAAAAACAAGGGGGAAATACTCCATTGTTCATACATACATATATTTTAAGCGATAAATGAACATTTACCAGGTCCCGAAACTCCAAATACACGTCCATAACTGGTTTCACCTACTTCGATACGCCTCGTATCCTCCTCGCTTGGTGTCTTTTTTGGAGTTTCTTCACATATACATTCGGGAGGAGGTGCTACGCATCTACACTGGTTTTCAACGGGTATTTATCCATAACAAGTGCACCACTCTGACGACATACCGAAAAAATTTATATTCTTAATAATTTATTTCAATTTTTTTCTTATTTCCGCCAACGCCTTACGTTTTAATTTTTTGATTTTTATGAAAAAAGGAATGTCATTTTCGTAATTGGAATTTTATGGCGATTGTGGACATGGTACAATAAAAACAGGTAGAAGCCAAATTGACATCAAACCCATGATAAAAATATAGTAAGGTAGAACCGCTGAGAGTCACTTTTAAGATTCTTGACGTTTCCAAACAATTTAATTTTTAAATTTACTCACAAACTCACACACACATTTTCATTTTCAATCTCAAGCAACAACAATTTCGAACAATTTCAATGTTTTATTTTCACTTTTATATGATTTTAAAATGTTGGCAAACTTCAAAAAAAAATCATGGCCGACAAATTGAGAGAACGGTTATACCTTGCTATGTTTTTATCATGATCAAACCTACAAAAGTCAAAGTTTTCGGGAGAGTAAAAATAAAAATGAGCGTGTGTAAGGAAAAATAAAAAAATACATTTCGCTGGTTGACGTTTTTGAGTAAATTTGAAATTTTGTTTCTATTTATTTATTTTTCTTTAGTTAAAATTTCTTAATTTGTATGTGGTTTTATGTTTTTAATTTATGAGTTGCAGTGTTGTTGGGGGGACTTTCCGGCATAAGGGTCATAGGAACAGCACTTGGCATCAAACGTGCCTTTCCTGTACCTCCCGGTGCATTTATGAAATCTGCTGCTTTAAAATGTTTAACGCACAGCAAGGCATTTCGCTGCAGCTCTGGCCCAGAGCTGCTTTCGCAACGCTCTTTACGCGAAGGACATTGAGGCACGTTAAATGGTATCTGCTTCATATTTAACACCACATAAAAAACAACGCTTCGGTGTTGCATTTTTAACACATACATTAAGTATAAACTGCACAACACTACAAAAATTCAAATGTTAATTAAAATTTGTTATTAACGAACATTCAAAAAAAAAAAACAACGATATGACATTCAAAGCGTAACGAAATATAGGAAATAAAAGAAAAACAAGTTGAAGTTTAAAGGTTTGGTTCTCATGAGAGCAACGTCATTTTGGCTTCTACCTGTATTTATGTGCCTTGATTGTGGATATGATTTTATATTATTAAATTTCGTCGAAACCCTGTGTCCAGATACACACTTATAAGGCGTTTAGATACATGACTCATGAATTTAGGTTTAGATACACCACCAAAATAGAAAAAATAATTTAAAATAAAAAAGAATTTTCTCTATCTACTCAACAAATTTGTGTTGTGTGTCTTGTTGTTGTTGCACAAAAATTTTACGCCACTTTCGAATAGCAGATGATATTTTATAAGAAGGGAGCGGCATGAGGAGCAGCTTTATACGAAGAACAAAGGTTTGTTTTGTATATCAGTAGCCCGTTTCTGTAACTTTTCTCTACCGATTATTTCTCTACTGGTAGAGAAAATCCGTCACTCTCACCTACTAATTAGCAGTAGAGAACAGGGCGGCGAATTCATATCTCAATTCGCCTTGGTAGAGAATTGTTACAGAAACGAGCTACAGGTTCGAGTGCGTATAAGAAGATGTTTTTGAAGTAGCTGAAGCTTGTCGTGGACATCACATCGCTGACCCACCGTGTACCGTATATACTATCCAACTCGCCTAGGAAGTTGCTCAATTAGTTGGAGTGTGTTTTATGGTGGCAAACAAGCCAAAATTGCTTGCTAGGAACAAATGTGTGTCCTCTTCTAAGGAACTTTAAAGAAATCGCTGTTTTGGTGGTATTGAAGTGCCCGCAGAAAGCAACATGTAGTATTCCGGAGGTTAACAATCGACGCGATTGGTAATTTTTGTGGTGAGTAAGCCGTTGTAGATAAGGCATAAGCGTTTTTCATAATCTTTTTTTT